TGTGAATGCCGGAGCTGGTTTAAGATTATCATCATTTTGCAAAGCTTTACACAGGCACAGACATGATATATAAATATATATATATATATAATATAAAATGTATATATTTTTATATAAGATATATTATACATACTCTCTACAATATATATTTATAAATATATATAATATCTAACACAAATATGATACATAAAAATGTATATTTCTCTCTATATAAATATACATATTTGTATATTATATTAGATATATTGTATGCAACATGTATTTATAAATATATAATAGAATATATAATAATACAATACTATAATAGAAAATATCTAATTATTTAATTAAATAATTTATATTATTGTATCATTATATAAAATCTATAATTGCACATAATATATTATAATAAAAATAAGTCAATGTACAATATATAAATATATATTTATGTATTTTATATATATATAAAAATATATATAAAACACATGCAACCACTCACCCACAGACAGTACAAACACATTCCAATTTATACCTGATTTTGCATATTTACAGTGGGTTCAATGTAGTTTTACCAAGCCCATGCAAACATCCTCAACACAAGCACATGGAGCCAAAACATCCCAGATTTCAGGGGCCGTGCTGCACAACTCCGGATCCCACATTTCAGAGCACCAGACCTCCAGCAGGATCATTTCCTGACTATAATTTCCAGACTACTTCCACCCACCCTCGAGCAAGAAATCCCCATCTGCAGGAGCCGAGCGGGTGCGTTTTCAGACTCATCCCTTCGTTAAGCCTGTTCTAATTGCACGACTCTGAGCTTTAATTAACGGCAAATTGTTCATTGCTGGGTCCCGTTCCCCGGCAGGATTTTCCTGGGGTGGTTTGGGGAGGTTTGTGTTTCGCAGGGCAGGGTTGCAGTTGTTATTTATGGCATTTGGGGAGGGAAAAGCAGAGCCCAAGAGACCCCCATGTTGTGCCCACTGGTGTTGGCACGTCTGGGCACTGAGGGCTTGGAGGGGGGATGCTCAGAGGCAGCCCCAGAGCATCCCAAATCCAGCAAAGCGCTGTCAGTGCCCCCTCTCCCCCACCCTCACGGACCCACAGCACTGCAGGGGCCTCACTCGGGAGTTGTTGCAGCTCCCAGAATAAAAAGAACAAGAGGAGACCAAGAAGATGCTCTGAGGGCTTGAGAACCTCTGCTCTGGAGCCAGGATGAGAGAGCTGGGCGTGATCACCTGGAGAAGGGAAGGCTCCAGGGACATCTCAGGGGCTCCAGGAGAGCTGGAGAGGGACCTGGGACAAGGGATGGAGGGACAGGACAAGGGGGAATGGTTTCACACTGCCAGAGGGCAGGGTTAGGTGGGATATTGGGAAGGAATTCTTGGCTGTGAGGGTGGTGAGGCCCTGGCACAGGTTGCCCAGAGAAGCTGTGGCTGCCCCTGGATCCCTGCAAGTGTCCAAGGCCAGGTTGGATGGGGCTTGGAGCAGCCTGGGCTGGTGGAAGGTGTCCCAAATTCTGGGATTCTATGAAACCACAAAAAATAGGTGCAAGTTCTATAATTGCTCTCTTGAAAATCAACCTCTCCACTGTTTCCAGGCTTACTTGCTGCTCCAGGTAACATGTGGATTAGGGCTCAAGGGATGGATTTGATCAAAGAGCATAGCTGTGCTCCAGGACGACAGTGTTCCATGGCACAGGACACCAGGTATCCCCATTCCCAGCACACTGGAGTGCTATTCCCACCCATTTCTGGCACCCTGAGCCCTCCTGAGCCCCTCAGGGAGGATCTCCACACACCAAATGGTCCCAGCCCAGTTTCTCTCCCAGTTGGATTAAACTCGTTCTTTCACAGCCCAAAGCCCCAGCTGGGGGGTCAGACCCTGACCTCTCCCAAATACCATCCATGCAAACCACCCTGGACACCAGGGAGGGGATGGTGCCACCTCCATGACAGTGATGCTGCAGGAATACCAAGTGCTTGCTGCCCCAACCCAAGCAGAGAACCAGGAGACATCAAGAAATATCCATATCCCAACTGAGCTGGAGCGAGGAAAGAGAGGAACCCTTATTTCCTAATGAATTCACCTAAGAAATGGATCCTGATTTCCCCCCAAGCCTGAAGTGTCACAACTGCCACATGCCATGTCCCCCTTGCACGGAGCAAAGGGAACGTGGAACCTCAACAGGGTCTCACCAGCTTTGAGCACCAAGTCCCAGCTCCAGTGATGAGCTGCTCTGCTCTGGCACTCCCTCCACACTTCAGTATTCCCCACTTGGCTTGGGATCAGTGCCACAGGTCACTGCTCTGGCTCGGGAAGCCAAGCCCAGCTCCAAGGTCAGGAAGGCCAGCCCAGCTCTGCAGCGACTGCCCCTTGCTCTCCATCCTGCTCCTTGAGGATATTTCTTGGATCTGTGCTACACAGGCCTTCCTTGGAGCAGAAATGCTCCATCAGGAGGGATTGGCTGGAGAGCAGGAGCCTCAGCACCAAAGAAGTGTCTTGTTTTAGGCCAAAGCCTGAGAAACCCACACAGCTGGAGGGCTCTGCCCCACGCACCAGTTGGACCCACGATAAAACTTGAAAACTTTCCTGAGCTCAGGATATTCCCCAGCCTGGGCAGCAGTGATCAAAGGGTTAATCCACACCCCTGGATGATGCTCAGTCAAATGTGAGGGTGGGCAGGCCCTGGCACAGGGTGCCCAGAGAAGCTGTGGCTGCCCCATCCCTGCAAGTGTCCAAGGCCAGGTTGGATGGGGCTTGGAGCAACCGGGGCTAGTGGAAGGATTCCCTGCCCATGGCAGGGGGTGGGACTGGATGATCTTTAATGTCCCCTCCAACCCAAACCATTCCATGATTCCATGATTTTAGACATCCAAGAAACCACACACAAATCCTGGCAATCCTGGCTGCTCCACACCCACAGGGAGAGGGACCCACACCCCACTCCAGGGACGGCTGTGCCAGAGGGACCCTTGTGCCACAGTGACACCCCCAAAGACAGTCCTACCCTGCCTGCCCCCCAGCACCCTCCAGCACCCCCCAGCAGCCCCTGGCACTGGGGGAAGCCTTTCTGCCCCCAGTGCAGATGTGGGGTGGAGACCAGGGAAACTCACTTTCGGGGTGCCGGTCTGCAAACACCTCCCACTGTGACGGTGGCGAGGCTGGGGAGGACGCTGCCACGGTGTGAGGGCTGGGCAGGACCCGGGCTGGGTCACGTTCACCCCGTGTAATCCCAGGAAAGCCGGGAATCCCAGGGCGCGACAGGGATGCACCCGCTGCACCCCCATCCCCGGGAAGCGCATCCCTGCAGAGCCGCGTTCACCACCGAGGGGTCCTGGCCACTCAGCCCCCTCTCCCCGCTCCCGCTGCCCGGGCTCCCGGTGAATCCCAGCGGGGATGGGATGGGATGGGATAACCCCCCGGCTCGGGATGCCCCCGCAGCGCCCCGGACCCCCCTATCCCGTCCCGCCGCCGCTCGTACCTGTGTCCAGCCCGGAGCCCGTCTCGGGGGGCTCCAGCCCCGCCGGGCACAGGGGCAGGGCACAGAGCAGCGCTAGCGCCAGCGCCCCGCAGAGCATCGTGCCCGGCCCCGGCCCCGCCGCATCCCCGCCCGGCCCCGCCGCCGCCGCCGGGGCAGGACGGCCCGGCCCCGCCCCCGCCCCCGCCCCGGCCCGCCCGCACCCCCCTCCTGCGGGGGGACACGGGGAACCCGGCCCACGACCCCCGACACTCCGCCCCTGCCCCGCACGCACCGCGGCACGGGTGGGGGGACACGCGGTCCTGCGCCCCCCCGAAACTCAGGGGTTAATGGCCCCATCACCCACCCCCAAAATCAGACGTGTTTCCAGTTCCCCCACCCCCGCGGCTGCGGCAGTTAATGCCCCCCATCATCTTCCTCCTAAAAGCAGACGGGTTTCCAACGCGCCCCGGCACTCAGGGGTTAATACCCACCCCCCAAAATCAGATGGACTTCCACCGCTCCCCGGCGCTGCAGGAGTCATTGCCCCCTATCACCTCCCCCCACCCCAAAACCAGACGGGCTTCCAACAGCCCCGGCGCTGCAGGGGTTAATGCCCCCCATCACCAAGCCCCCAAAATTAGACGCGTTTCCAGCGCCTCCCCTGCACTCAGGGATTAATGTCCCTCATCACCCCCGAGCCGAATTCGGACACTCTTCAAACGCCCCCCGGCACTCAGAGGTTAATGCCCCCCATCATTCTCTCCCTCCCCAAAATCAGACGCGCTTCCAGCGCCCCCCGGGGGTTCAGAGCTTGGGAATGGGGGTGCCCCTTCCCGAGTGCGGGGCTACGTGAGGTAACACACGGACAGACAGACAGACAGACAGGCAGACACAACCCCCAACCCCCCACACACAGGGTTGTTCGTCCCGCGGGTGCTGCAGGGGTTGGTGACACCCCCCAGTTTGCCCTCTATAGGTAAAGGGGTCATCCCTCACCCTCCCCAAATAAAACTTGCTGTGAGTGTTTCTCAGGGGGTCTCACCCCCCCCAAACTGTGCCCCAGCTTCCCTCTGGGGGCACCCAACCCTGCTCCTGCAGGGGGGCAGGGGCTCTGTGCCCCACACTCAGCTCTCCAGCACCACCAGCATCACTGCTGAGGCCACACCGCTTCCCACGTGTGACAGACCCACAGATGCCCTGTGGGGGTTTTGGCTCAGGCCTGTGGAGGAGCCAGGCTCACTCCCAGCCCATGTGGGTATTTTCTCTGCACCAGCACCCAGAGACCCCCAAAATATGGGAACCTTCAGCCAGACCTTTGGATGGGCATCCCTGGCAGAGAGCAGGAGATGCTCAGGTGCCCAGTGTGCCACCTGGGTGTCATTTTGATGACAGGTCACACCATGGCCCTGGGAAATGAGGATTCTGTGAGCTTAATCCTGATTGCTGCTTGAGACAGGAGCCAATTTAGGAGTAAAATGTGCCTCACTCACCCCTCTCTCGCCATTTCCAGGCCCTTCCCCTGTCACACTCTGACTCAGCTCATCAATGAAATGAAGGTCAGAGACACTGGTGGAGTCTTTTGCTTTGCCATGGACTTTATTTGTCAAGAACATGTGACAAGGGTTTGCCTTTCCTTTCGGAATCCCATTGATTCCCAAGCTGTGACCATCTGTCCCAGCAGCACGTCCCCCATCCCATCCCTTGGCATCTCTGCTGTGGGACCTGGGGGCTCTGCCCTCAGCTCCTTGCACATCCCACCACCCCAGTGCAGGAGGAGGTTGGTTGGGTGGATCACCTGCAGAATCAGGTCTTTTTTAGGTGGATCACCTGCAGAACCCGGTCTTATAAACACTCTCCAATCCACGAGGAGGAAAAAAAAACCTTGTGAAATTCATAGAATTATTCTGCCACAGTCCTGTTGCTCAGCTCAGCATCCCTTTTTTTATACACACTATCATTTGCTGTATGCAGTAACACAACCACATCCACTCCCCTCCTCAGCCTTCTGCGAGAAAATTCGGGTTTACCCCCTGGGGGTATGTCAGACTTTTGTGCAGGACAAGGACCTGCCTCCTCCTCCCCCTCCTCCTCCTCTGTTTGTGCCGTGCTGGGCAGAGAAAAGGCTGCCACAGAGAGAGAAATAATAAAAACAAACAGACAAAGCCAGTGCTGGGATATTCTGTTTCAGAGCAATGACAGAAAGTGGAGATGAGGATAAAATGAATAAACTACGGTTATTGATACTGTTTTCTTTGAATTAACACAGCTCTGCTCCATCAGCATGTCCCAGGTGGGTGGAGTTCTGGTGTTTCCATCCCCTCACCTGAGGGTTGGTTTGCTCAGACCCCTCTCAGCAGTTCCCTCACCCACCCCAGGACTTCAGCCCCACAAATATTTGAGACCCCTCAGCGTCACCACAGAGCTCCTCACCCCTATATCGCCACCACCAGCACTTCTCTTACTGCTTCCCTCAATTACCCTTCCCTTTGAACTCCCCCCAAGCAACCAACACAGCCCAATTCCCAGTGACACTTCACTGGGATCCTACTACAAACCTGTGGATGCAAAAGAATCATGGACAAACCGGTGACCTGAAACACAAAGGAGGCAGAGCAACCCCAACCTTGTCCTTGCCGGCTGGCCCTGGGCAATTTAGTTCCCTCCAAGTATCTCAGTCTACTCCTTTTATCACATAAAAATGCAAAACTCGCCTCTTCTGCAAAAATATTTTGGAATGTGCTGAGAGACAGCGTTGAGTTGAGGCTCCTTATTGTGATCAGGCACTTTTCTGCAAACGGTGTTTTCACAGCCAGGAAAATATCAGGAGAGCTACTTAGAATTGATAAAGAGGGATGAGATACTCTGGGAGAAATAATTCATCACCTTGGAGGGCATGCAGGAATCTGCAGGCACCGTCTGCAGACGTGGCTGGAATGGGAAATCAGCTCCAGGGAATACAAAAGGCCAAATTACCTGAGCACCTTGGACTCGGTGTCTCACCCTGAGTTTTCTGCATCCCAAGACAAATATTTCAGGGAATGACCCTCAAAGAGTGGCAAGATGAATCAGGCTTTTCCCATTTATGTTGTTGCTTCCCTAGAAAGTAGGAAAAGCCTGAAAATGCTACCCCCTAATGGCACAACCGGGTGTGGGGTGCTGGCCTGGGAAATGCTGACCAGGATTTTATCCACAGGGCCGGCAGTGGAGATACAGGGAATGGAAATAATACAGGAATGGAACTACAGGGAATGGAAATACTGCTGTTTCTGCTAGCAAGATGTGTCCCTGGGGGAGAAGAGAACTTGTGCAAACCCCCTGACAGCAGCTGTGCATGGAGTTATATCAGGAATGGTATAAAAATAGAGCCATTTTGTGGGATTCAGCTGAAATCAAACCGGAGCAAAACAAACCCGAGGGTTCCACATCCAGTGTGTGGGATGGGGGAGATGCTTTGAGTGTGGCAGTGGGGATCCTGCCTGCTCCAGCTCCTTCAGGACTCAGGCAGCCCCTGGAGAAGTTGATGGTGCATTGATGCCTCAGACCAAAAAGATACAACTGAAATCAGGAGGGAGAAAGAAAAAAAAAAAAAAAAGAAAGAAAAAATACTTTAAAAGCGCAGAAAAGTCACCAAAAGCCTTTTAGGATTTTAAAACATATATAGGATTGTAAACTGGTTGTGGGGGTTCTCTGTGATACACATCTGGAGGGGAAAGGTGGTTCATCCAGTCCTCCAGGCAGGTTCCAGCTCCACAGGTGGGTGTGGTGGAGCAAACGCCGTGGGGGTCCCCTCTGAGGTCGGGGTGCACATTGATCCTGATTCTCAAATCCTGTGCAAACCTTTGCAAGCCTTCCCTTGCATGCCACTTAGAAACCTCCATTTCGTCTTTTTTTTGGGTGTATCTCAAGAATAATGCTCTTAAAAGTAATAAAAATCCTCCTCTTCTCCCTTCTGCTCCACTGCTGTCCTGCCCAAGAACCCCAAGCCCCACACAGACCAGATCACAAGCTGAGATCTTCGGCTCCAAACTCCACTAATCATGTCCTGTGTGACCCCAAGCAAAACCCTTTTCTTCCAAAGCTACAGCCTGACCTGGTCATCAGGGATTTAAGGATCTTTTCCTTTCACTCCACACTGAATCTCAGGGGGCACCTTGGGTGTTCTCATCACAGAAATGATGCAACGAGAGAGAAGAAGAGTCCAATATTAAAACAGACCTTGTGCTCTGAAAAGTGCAAAACTGCAACGGTCCTGCTGCTATTCATCATCCTCAAGAGTTTTTTGGGCATTGCCAGAAGCGTGACACTGTCAGAAGTGTGACACCAGCAGACCCTGATGAAGGAGAAACACAGTGGATTTCTCCCCCAGGTAGGGAATGAGGGTGGTTCTCCAGTGATCCAAAGAAATGAGAAGTTCCTTCCTTGTGTACCAAGAGCCCTCAGGTTTTTCTTCTGCTCAGTGCAAGTCTTGGGGAAGGAACTTCAAGGTGAACTCCACAAGTATTATTATTATTATGATTATTAATTCTTTTTTTTCTACAAGTGCTACAGCACGGCCTGGACACGTGACAGACTCCTCAATCCATGATTTCCACAGCTACCTGAGGTAGCATAAAAACATCTGCTGGGAGTGGGGCTTAAGGCTGAATCGGGTTTAAAGCCACAGGGAGCCACCTTTTTGCACACAGAACAGTTTGGGGTGGAAGGGACTTTTAAAGGCCATCAAGCCCAACCCTTCTGGGGCGAGCAGGGACACGTTCAACAAGGTCAGGCTGCTCAGAGCCCCGTCCAAGCTGACCTTGAACGTTTGCAGGGCTGGGCAACCTGAGAGAGTGTTCTACAAGATAAAACCCCTGGAAGGAATCAATCACTCAATCACTGCTGGGGTGATTAGGCTTAAATCCTACAGTTTTGCTGCCTGTTGGACTCCAGGAACCACGACCTCCAACCGGATCCACGCTGGGAAGGCAAATTTGCCAACAGCTCCCGACTCAAACCGAGCAGCTGTGAAGCCTCTATGGAAACAAACACAAAAGTGGCCAGTTCCTTTAAAACATCCCAATTTGGGCTGAACTAAGCCCAGTTTCACACTGGAGGGCACAGGCTGTCCCTCCACAGCTCTCCCCGGTCACCAGGCACACCGCACACACCGGCTGGGAATTTGTCAGGTTTTTGGTGGTTTTTTTTTTGCTAAGTTTTTATTTTAATTCAAGGACTTTGCTTCATACAAAATGTTAATTGTAGAAACAACTGCAGAATTCAAAGTTTGGCTGATAAATATTACTCAGGCAGCAAACTAAGCAATCACAGAACCTTTTTTTTTCTTTTTTTTTTTCTCTTTGCATGGGTTTTATTTTATTTTTTTCCCTCCTTTTTATTTTTTTGGGTAAAGTTCCGCTTGTGTTGCATGGTTGGAACTTCGATGGTTTTTAACACTGTTTTTTTTTTAAATATAAAGTTTTGCAACAAACCCCCAATTTATATCAAATATAATTAAAAATTAACAACTGATGAATACCTTGTATCAAAAAAGTACGAAGATAAACATTATTTTTTTTTCCATGCACATACTTTTTTTTTTTTTGTTCGTTTTATATATATGTATATATGTATATATTTTACATGCAAACATTACTTATTCAAAGTACAGCCAACTACGAGACTGGTTCTGGATGCAGAAAACTGGTCGGTGCAATTCAAGTTTGGCAACTCACTATGAGGAACCTTGGAAATATCATGGATGCACTGAAGAGACAGCAGAGAGGCTGTAAAAAAAGGTCTGGAAAGGGTTATTTATGAACAGTTGTGGTCAGGTTTGTCTGTCACTTGTCATCGAGCCCTACGAGGCAGGGGGGGGATTTGGACAACTTGAGATTCTTCTTCAGGTTCTGCCTAAGAATTGGGGGTGACCCAAGGCCATCGTCTGGTTGTGGTTTTAGTGCAGGGCTGGGGGTTGGGGGGGGGTCTAAAATGAAGGAGGAAAGGGGGAAAAGACAGAATTATTGAGTACAGAAAGACATCTCTTTCGCTTTCCAGTGTTTTACAACGTTTGCATGCACGGGCAGAGAGATTGTGTTTCCCCTCCCCTTGAGCCTCCTGGAATAAAAGAGTAATGTTTTCTTGAAAACTTTCCAATAAAGTGTTTGTGCCTTCGTTTAAAGGGGAAAAATAAAACAAAATAAACGTATCAAACATTTGGTCACAATCATGCTGAAGCCTGAAACAGGAAAATCCAGCAGGTAAAGCTACAGGATGGATGAAGGTCTTTCTGACTGTTGGTGGGTTGGATGTGTGTCCGAACGTGTCATCTTGTTGCATAGCCCTCCTTTTTTGGGAATCCCAGCCCGGCCCACGGGGAGCTCCGGCTGCCCACACTGCCTTGACTGGAAGTGCACAGAAATACAGAGACAGAGATACAGACAGGAGTTCTCCTTTAGCAGAATCCAGGGATGAGATCAGCCGGAGGTTATTATTAACGGAACAAAAGGAAAAGGAAAAAAAAACAAACACGGAAGGAAACGGGAAAAAAACCAAAAAACAAACCAGGTTGAATTTCCTCAATGGAAGAGCTACAGGAGATGTGAAGAACCACCCTACAGCAAACTGCTCCCTGCCTGAGGCTGAAAGGCTTTTGCTGAGAGCATGAAGAGACCTCCTGAGCATTTTGGTAGCATCCAATACCCTCCAATCTCCCCAAAGCCCGAAGGGATCACCAGGATCCGGCGGGATCTCTCCCCGTCCTAAGCAACCGCTTCGTCTGGAGAAGCTTCACAGTTCTGGGGCTTGGGAGATCCTCTGAAAAAATTCCTCTGTGCAACCCCCTCCTCTTTCCTAACAGGGTTTTTAGGATGTGCTCGCCTGGCACCTCCCACCCTCGTTCCTTCCACCTTTATTCCTTGTGTCCCCTGGCCACCCTGTGCCCCAAAGCAGCCCTACAAGAGCTCAGCAGAGCCAGGGATGGGAGGTCCTGCCCGAGCTCTGCTTCCAGCCTCCCTCCCCGCCAGCACAGCATGTTTGCCTCTTTGCCAGGCTCACAGTGCAGAAATCCACAGGGGCACAAAAGAAAGGAATCATCCAACGCAAGAGTCGTTGCGAGAACGCAGAAATCTCATCCCTGAGAATCAGAGTTAGAGGTTTGGATTATTATTATTATTATTATTATTTTGACCTTCTCTTAACAGGCAATAAAACCAAGACTGCCCTCCACGCAGATGATGCACCGTGGAGCACGGCCAGAGCTCTCACGGTCCGTGTGAGACGCTGCTCCTCCTGCAGGAGCAGCCCTGCAGATGCTGTACTTTTCCACCTGCATCCCTCCCTCAGCGCTAGTCAATGAGAAAAGGCCGGGTTTGTTTGCTGCAACCGCTCCCCTCCCACCGATAAAACCAACAAAAAAAAAAATAAAATGAAATTAAATTAGAAAAAGGCCAACAAAACCCAAACCAACCGCGAAGCGTGTTTGCCTTCCCCGCTGGAAGCTTCCAACCTGGCACTCGAGTGCACTGTGGGGGCGGTGGGAGCCCTGTGGGCCCTCCAGGGCGAGGGGCTCTCCAGGCTCTGCCCTCCCTCCTGCCCTCCCCACGCTTGCCCAAGGTCTGATGCATCGAAGCAAAGAGGTTGCATCGTCACTGTGAAAGATTTCAAAGGTTAGGCACTTAGTAGTGAACAACTGGAGCATTCGGTAGAAACGGTGGGACCTGGAATGACAATTGGACTAATTCTCTACATAAAGAGTAAATTTTTTTCTCTTTTTTTCTTTTTTTTTTTGTTTTACTGTACAATTTACAAAAAATGCACACAATGAAAAGTTAAAGTTCTATCTAATAGCTTGATATAAAACCAATAACATTTCTTCTTATCACCCCTACGCTTTTTTCCTCTTTTTTTTTTTTTCTTTCCTTTTTTCCCTTCAGGACTTCTTTTTAAGTTGTTATTTTTTGTTTGTGGTTTTTTTGTTGTGTTTTTTTTTTTTTTTTTTGCTAAATCAAGCTTATATTGTAAACAAGACAAAACAGTGAGGGGCGGTGTGGCGGTCGACAGGAGAGAGGGATGGAATGGAAAGTCTCAGCAGCAAGGAAACAGTCCTTACAAAGGAGCTCTTTTGTGGCTTTATCGTGTGTCAGTGTGAAGGGCCCGATGTGGTGAGTGGGACAGGAGGGACCCCCACGGCAGCGCTGTCACAGCAGGGTCCCGGCTGCCGGGGTCACCTCTGGGGGGGTGGCACCAAGCTCTGCCGAAAAGGAATTCCTGTGGCTGAACATCAAGTCCCAATGGACTGTCCTTTGTTCTGGGCTGTGGTTCTCCTCTCCCAGTTGCTCGGGTACATCTCTCCCTTCCGAGTGGCCGATGGGGCCGAGCGCGGGCGTGATCCTTGTCCCCGTGTGTGTGTCCTTTGCAGCCCCCGACTCCCACCCTGACCGGGGAGGGGAAGAAATGGTGGTGATAAATGAAATAAGAAATTAGCCCAACAAAAACTGCGCCGATCTCGCAAAGGATGGACAGTCTGCTCTTCCACCACTCGAGGTGAGGATCCCTCTTCTCTCGGCTTCTCGCCTCTGTCGCCAGTTTGGCATCTGGTGCGTGTCTGTGACTAGACAAGGCAGTGGGGAGGCGGGCCAGGGGGGACAGAGAGATGTGCTGCCTTCCCCTGAAGGAGGGAGCCTTCTTCCTCCGTTTGTCTAGTGCAAAAAAAAAAAAACCCAACCCATAAATAAAAAATAAAAATAAAAATAAAAATAAATACAGAACAAAGAGCGGAGAGAGGCTGCAGGGGCGTCTCCGGCCCCGGGCGCAGAGCAGTTCTCATGGCAGGGGCTGCCCCGCCGGCCTTCCAGATGATAAAACTCATCGTAATTAACCGCGCACGCCGCGGAGGGCTCTGCCAGGCCGCTAGCACCAGTCATCCTCATCGGCCTCGTGGTAGTAGCTACGTCCTCTGGCGCCGGCGCCGGGGCCCGTGTTGAGCCCCAGCGTGTAGTGGTAGCCGTTGGGCACGCGGCGGATTTGGTGCGACTGGGAGGTCAGGGAGGAGACATAAGAAGTCCTTGAGGAGCGCCCCGAGTTGGTGGCCACGGCCTCCTCGAAGGTGAGCGTGTCCTCGGGCGCGGCGCGCGAGGGGCTGTCGGCGTCGTCGCGGGGCCCCAGGTAGGGGTCGGAGCCGGTGCGGGCCACGGGCGGCGGGGGCGGCTGGTGCTCCCCGCGGAGCAGCGCGTTGTGCTCCGACAAACCGCGGCTCAGGCGTCCCGGGGAGAAGGTGGGGAGGCCGGGTTGGACAGTGGTGAAGTGCACGGGCGAGGAGTTAGCGGTCTTGTAAGTGATGCTGGGGCGTGGGGTCAGTGGAGTCTGTGGGAGCTGCCTCCGACCCCGGCAGGGGGTACTAGCACCAGATGTCGACAGCAAGGGGCTCCCATTAACTGAACCACTGCCCTACATAAAAATTGGAACAAAGCAAATCAAAAAATAAAAAAGGGGAAACACCGGACAAACACAAAGGCAGGCAGGTGGAGAACAGAAGGAGAAGCAACAGAAGGGAGAGACAAGTCACAAGAGGGAAGAGAAGCAAAAAAGAGAGAGTTTAGACAAGCACAGTCAGGGGGAGGAGGTTCTCGAGAAATAATTCAACACGAGATGTAAAAGAGCTGGAGAGTTAAAAGTTCTGCGAGGGGTGAGTAAGGACAGGGAGGGGCAGAGCATCGGTAGGACGCAAACTGGGACACGGCTCCGACAGGAGGGGACACTGTCCGGGGGGAGGGACCCACAGCATACACGGGCTCCACATGCGCCTTACCTGGACTGGGCAGGAGCAGCTCAAAAACCTGCTTTGTTCAGGGCATTTTAGACAAAACCAAGTCTGCTTGGGGGTGGATTTGTGCAGAACTTCACCCAAGGGCTGGTCTAGTTGGAGGTGTCCCCTCCCATAGCAGGGGGTGGAACGAGATGAGCTTTAAGCTCCAACCCAAACCATTCTGGGATTCTATGATTCTACTTCTGTGCTCAGAACCAGACAATGTGGGAGGAGGATCTGGGGGACTGGGTTTTTTTGTACACTGGAAATCACATGTATTTTGATTAAATAGTCACTTTCTGAAAAAAAATAAAAAAATCAACAAAAAGGGTTTTTTTGGGCAGGCTGGAACTAACAATTTCCTTTAACAGAAATGTGTTACAGTCTCCTCTTTTATATTACACATTTGATTTTTGAGTGGTAGAACAGCCTGGCAGCTTCCTGGGTTACTAATAATGACACGTGAGAGTGACCTAAGCTGCAGTAATTTAAAAAAAACGCCACGAGTGAGAGGAACAGGTCCTTGTTTTGGCATTTCAGGTTACATTCTCCCAGGGCAGTACATGACCAGCCCCAGGAGAGCATTTTAAAAATCCCTCAAGCCTTTTGTGACCTAACATTTTGAGGCCAGACCTTTAATTTTTAAAGAGCAGTGTTCCTTCCTCTCAAACAATCAGGTTGTTGCTTGCTGGGCTGTCAATCAGTGCTCATTCTGCTCTGCCTGGCTTTTCCCGTGTGGTTTTCCCAGCAAATCGAGCAGGGCTGGAGGCTGTCGGCTCACCAGTGGGATGTGGGGGCTGTGTGAGCTGTTGGTGTCTGGTCCACGAGAAGAAGAGGCAACCCCTGCATCGTTTGGGTGTGGTGTCACTCGCCACAGCCCAGCCCTGCTCCCCCCAAGCATCGGGGACCGGGGTGGCATTTGCCGTTCACGCTGCTGGGCCAACCTCTCACACCTTCCCAACGTGGAAACAGAGTCTTTGCCTTTCTCTTTGTTCATTTTCCCCCTCTCCCTCCTCTGCTTTCCCCATATTTCAGCCTCGGAATTACAAAAGAAAGCAGAACTGAATTTCAGCCTGGAGAAAAGGAGGCTCAGGGGGACCTTCTTGCTCTCACAACTCCCTGACAGGAGGAGGGAGCCCAGGGGGGTTGGGCTCTGCTCCCAGGGAACAAGGGACAGCAGTAGGAATGGCCTCAAGTTGTGACAGGGAAGGTTCAGGTTGAACATCAGGAGGAATTTCCTCATGGAAAGGGTTGTTAAGCACTGGCAGGGGCTGCCCAGGGAGGTGATGGTTGACTCCCCACCCCTGGAGGTGTCCAAGGAAGGACTGGACATGGCCTCAGTGCTCTGGGCTGGGGGGCAAGGTGGGCATTGGGCACAGCTTGGATTTGATGGTCTGGGAGGGCTTTTCCAGCCTTAATGATCTGTGATTCTACATTGCTTTGGTAAGTACTGAGATGCCTAAAGTTTTTTTAAGGTATTTTCAAACTTTTTTATCCAGGGAATGGTCTCGATAGCAAAAAAAAAGGCGAGGTCTTTGTTCACAACATCCAACAAACGACTTCCTGCTGAAACATTCCGAAGTTCCAACACAAGAGCTGCCAGTTGTGGGGTCCCCAAGGCTGCTATGTTGAAACCATTAGCACGTGGTTGAAACCACTAGCAAGCACTGCTCCTGGCAATGGGGCCTTGGGCACGTGGTGTGCCTCTTGGGGATGGTCCAGTGCAGGGCCAAGAGTCGGACTCGATGATATTTTGGGTCCCTTCCACCTCGGCACATTCTGTGGTTCTGTCTCTGAGGTGCCTCACGTCCCTCACTCTGCAGGTGGCTGCTCAAAAGCCATCAAGTGACATTTCCATGCCTGTTTTAGGTGTGAAGCACCAAGCAGGACCCCAGTGGAGACCTCAATCTGCCCCTGCCTGGCCCTCCCTCCCCGTTCCATCTCCGTTAATTTAAGCAAAACACGGACAAGGCGCGCAAACCCCCGGAAGACCTCAGGGCTGCTGTCCCACCCTGCCTCTCCTCACCTGTCTGTGTGGACCTTGCTCTGGCCCCCCGTTGGGGGAGGTGGGCCTGCTCTGCTCAGCAGACTTGGGCTGGGAGCGCTCCCGGCTGCCGTAGCGGTCGCAGGAGTAGAAGCGCTGCTTCTCGGAGGAGGACGAGGAGTGCTGCTTCCTCTCCTGGGACCGCCCCCGCTCCTTCTTGTCCTTGGCAGAAGACTCACCAGCCTGGGCTGCTGAAAGAAGAACGCTGGTTAGGGGTCACCAACGCGTGAGGGACTCCCAGGTGTGCAGCAGGGAGGTCCCCAAATCCCACCCGCCGGCCGGTGCAGGGAGGAGGACAAGTGGCCCTCGCTGTGCTGGCACGAAATTCCACTGAGGAGCTTCGTGTTAGTGGTGGAGCTGGAAAGCTTGTCAGAGGCACAAAGGTGGGATGGGGGAGCCCAGCACAGCCTTCAGTTTGGAACAATAGGATCCTGAGCTGGAAGGGATCCACGAGGATCGTCTCATCCAACTCTTGGCCCTGCACAGCTCACCCCAGCAATCCCACCTTGTCCCTGGCGAGTCGGTTCAGTGCCTGACTACCCTCTGGGGAAAGAACCTTTCCCTGAGATCCAGCCTGAGCCTGCCCTGACACAGCTCCAGCTGTTCCCTGGGTCCTGTCCCTGCTTTCAGGGAGCAGAGATCAGAGCTGTCCCTCATCAGGAAGCTGCAGACCCCGGTGAGGTGTGACCTCAGGCACTGCTGCATCCCTGGGGGCTGCACCACTCCAATCAACAGGACCCTGTTGTGCTGCTTTTGTCACCTCTTGTGGCCCTCACTGCATGGGCAGTAAATTATACTCAGCAGCTCCATGTGTGTCCTGCTGAGCCTGAAGTTGGAGGCAGGCAGGCAGGTCTGTAAACTGGATGGGCAAAAAAAGTGTCAAGTCCTTCCCACTAAAAACACTCCTCCAGATTCTTAAAATCCATACAGGAGCTGCCAGGAGGAAGGTCACAGAAAATTCCCAACAACAAGGCAGCCAAACTGATGACAAATTAACATTTCTCTTTGGGTTTGGTCCTGCCAGGGAATCTGGAATTCTGTGCCTATTCCACAGAAGTCCCCACTGACACTTAGGGAAGCGACAAAGCAACGAATCCCCTTTCCATAAATCCTGGCAACGCCCTTGTTAAGGCAACAGGCTCCCAAAAAACCTCGGGAGACTACACTGGGAGTCACTAATTGCTCCTTCATCACCAAACCCATCGGTTTCAACCCCTAAATTCCCACGTGCAACAAGGCACACGGGATCGCGTGCAAAGCCAGGTGACACTCACCAGCCTGTCCATCGGCCAAGTGATGGGCGGCCCTGTCCAGGGACTTCTGCTTCTTCTCTTTCCTCCGGTGGCAGCGGTGGTGGTGGTGGTGGTGCCCCTGCTCCGGGGGCATCCTCTCCAGGGAGTACTCGTAGAGGTGCATGGCGTGAGGGCGCTGCGGGGTCAGCGTGGACACGGAGCGCTTCATGGGGCTCGTGTCCGGGATGGGCTGCAAGGCACAGGGAGGCACACGGAGCAGGGTGAGGGCAGGGCTGCACCTGCTCCACTGCCTGGTGCCCACCGTGGGGAGGGGCAGCACAGAGAGAGGGGCGAGGAGAAAAAATGGTTAACCGGATACGACAGGAACAGCGGGAGGGAGGACTCGTGGGATGAGCGCTGCACTGAGGGGCAAGTGTGATCCCTGCTGGCTGAGATGGGCTTTACTTCAGCAGAGTGCCAACCCACGGGTACCACGAGCCATAGGCAGCACTTCACACCACACACAGCGGCACAGGATCACCGGGAGGGCAGCAGGGACACGGGAGGGCAGCAGGGACATGGGGACAGTGCAGGAGCCAAGCGCCTCACAGGGATAATCCTCCCAGACCAGTTTCACCCAAAGCTGCTTCAGGGCCTTTGTGGCCATCCCAAAGCAACTCCCGAGAGGAAAGCATGAAAGCACTGCTGAGCATCACATGGAGAGGGAGAAAAATCAGGAATAAGTGGGCAAGGGACAGGCCAAGCCCCTGAGAAGTTAATTCTACCCCGCTGCAGGTGAAGACAATCCCATCAAACATTTAAACTTCTGCCCTTCCACCATCACTCCTTGTGGCTGGGACAAGCAGGGTAGTGTGTATGACCTGCAATTCTCCCAGGACAACGCCAGAAATGACTACTTGGGTTTGGTATTCCCAGTTTTCCAGTCATTTGTGGCCAAACTTCTGGACCCTGAGCGCAGCAACCTGCCTTCCATGGCACTGCTGGAGCTGTGCCAGGGACAGCTCCAGATTCTGCTCCCTTCCCTGTGGGTTCAAAGCCTTACAAAGATGCTCTGCAGGACCCAAGACAAGGCTGCAGGACAGGTATTCCCACAGCCTTCCCTACTGCCCAGTCACCAGGGAGAAAGCTCAGAAAAACAGGACAATTCCCATGCCTCCTTCTCTGCTGGCTCTGCATGGAGACAGCGCTTAATCCACCCTCTGGAGGCTTCCCTGGGTCTGAGGAGAGATCTCAGAGCACCGTGGTCCAGTCTGGGAGAGAAGCAGTTCAGGATGTTCTCTGCTCCCTCAGCCTCACACTGTTTGAACTCACAATCCAATAAGTGCCTCCACCAACAGTCCTCGCAGAATGTTTACTTTGCTCACTGTAACCTTTTCCAAAGAGCCCTGTATTATTTTTACTGTCTGCTTTGTTTTGTTTGCTTATCCTGAAATTCAGATCTCTGAATATCCTGTGATATTTACCCAGTGCCAAGCCAGTTGTTTCACAGCCCTGCTCCTTATTTTGAGTGGAAAGAGCCTCCCTCTCTCTCCCATCACAGGCAGATTATCCTGGCTGCAAAGGTGCAATTTGGGCAGTTACCCAAATTTTGGTGCTTCCCACTGAAGGGCAGTTGCTTTTGTCACCTCTTGTGGCCCTCAGTGTGTGGACATTAAATTACACTGAGGAGCTTCATGTTTGTCCTGCTGAGCCTGAAGCTGGAGGAAGACAGGGAGGTCTGTAAACTGGATGGTCTGACGGGCAGAAAAAAGGGACAGGTGGAAGTCCTTCCCACCAAAAACACTCCTCCAGATTTTCAAAATCCATACAGGAGCTGCCAGGAGGAAGGTCACAGAAAATTCCCAACAACAAGGCAGCCAAACTGGATGACAAATGAACTTCGGGTTTGGTCCTGCCAAGGAATCTGGAATTCTGTGCCTATTCCACAGAAGTCCCCACTGACACTAAGGGAAGTGGCAAAGCAACGAATCCCCTTTCTATAAATCCTGGCAACGCCCTCGTTAGGGTAACAGGGCACGTGCAGGCTCCCAAAAAACCTCGGGAGACTACACTGAGAGTCACTAATTGCTTCTTCCTTACCAAACCCATCGGTTTCGCTCCCTAAATTCCCACGTGCAACAAGGCATATGGAATCAAACAAAGAGCAAAACAAACAAATAAAATAAATAAACCAAACAAATAAACACCCACACACACCCCTCCCTGCTACCAGAGCGTGCCACGTGCAGCCGTGGGAACAGCGAAGTGGGGAGGAGAGAGCGGCTGCGTTGGGCTCCAGATGAGAAGGGGGAGAGGGAAAAAGTAGAGGGTTTGAAGGCAGGTTAATCGTTTCTTAACACGAAATTTAAGAGGATATACAACTTAGTGCGAGCTACATACTGCCAGGTAACTCCCGGGCGACCGTGCTTTGCTCCTCTGCAAACAATTCGGACAAGATGAGAGACATTATTTGAAGCAGCCCCACAGTACAGCCATTGTCAGACATCGCGGCAGATGGGCAGCAGACACCATGACGACAAGGGAGGGGGAAGGAGGGGGTGATATGGGGGCAGGACAGCAGGGAGGGAGGTTGAAAACGCAGGGAAGATTTATTTTTTTTGTTGTTGAAAGTGGAACGTAAAAAGACAGAGGAACGGCGGGCAAACAGAAAGGGGGACAGCCAGAAACAGAAAGCATCGCAAAGGAGAGTTAGAAAGAACTCAAAAGTTTGGGGAGTGGGGGCAGAGCAGCACGTGGGGAGGGGGTGAGGGGAAGGGGAGACACACACAGAAAGTACGTCAGTTATTCGCCCAAAGCCACGACCATTATTATTTACACATGTATTACTAAATGAGGTTAGATCTGCTCTGGTATTCCGGGCCTGATTCACAACCAGATTGGAGGCACTTTCATCGACGGGCAGCGATGCCCTGGTGGGGGACACAAACCACACTTCTGCCAGGGACACTCCCTTCTGCAAAATCTGATCCCATGGAGAGATTTCCCAAGGAAAGGCTCGTGCTGCTGGCCTTGCTGCTGCCAGCTGCATCCCCCTGCAAGGGAAGATGCTACTGGTGCTGTAGAATAAAGGATAACTTTGTTCTGGGAAAGGGAAGGAGGATGGGTTTGCTTTGGGGTCTGGTGCTTTTATTAAGCATGTTGAGCAGTGCTCCTGATAACACAGCGAATCCCAGCTCACACAAAAGCTGCAGCTTCTGAAGGCAGCTGGGAAATTCACTGCTGAGGGGCAGCCTGTGCCAGCCCCAGCACGTGGGCACAAAGATTCCATGTGCTGGAGCTGCTGCTGCATGTGCAGAGCACAGGCTTTGAGTTTTAGGCTGCTGCAGCTCTTTCATGCTGCATTCTTCCATTTCTCTCCCTGGAGAGCAATGGAAACAGCCCCCAAAACCCAGGCTGCTCCCTCCTGATGATGAATCAGGCCCTTGGAATGAGACACGACATGAGTGGTGAGATGCTGTGACACACAGGAGGCAGCACAGGGGCTGGACAGCACTGGGGATGAACAGTCAGCAATGAACATGTGGAATGGCCAAAAATGGTCCCTGACACCCTACACACACAGGTTGCTGTAAAAGCCAACTCTCTGATGAGATTTCTTTAGGAAAAGCTACACAAGGGAAATCCTCAGCCCCATTTCACTGGCCAAACTCCCAGTACAGCACGTGCTGAGGATGGTGGGAAGAGGATGAAACAGGGAGGATGCTCAGTGTCCCAATGCAGCATTCCAGGCTTTGTGCTCCCTGCTGGGAGCACAAAGATTCCATGTGCTGGAGCTGCTGCTGTGTGTGCAGAGCACAGGCTTTCAGTTTTTAGGCTGCAGCAGCTCTTTCATGTTCTGCTTCCCATGGAGAGTGATGGGAACAGCCCCTAAAACCCAGGTTGCTCCCTCCTGATTATGGATCAGGCCCTTGGAATGAGACACTACACGAGTGGTGAGATGTTCTGACACACAGGAGGCAGGACAGGGGCTGGAGAGTATTTGGGACAGTCAGCAGTGAACATGTGGAATGGCCAGGAATGGTCTCTGACATCCTACACGCTAAGCAGTGTCCAAAAATTCCTGTGGAATTCAACTCTATGGGTTTTCTTTGGGAAAGCTACACAAGGGGAATCCTCAGCACCGTTTCACTGCACAGGTACAGCACAGCATGTGCTGAGTGGGGTGGGAAGGGGAAGAACCAGGGAGGATGCTCAGTGTCCCAGTGCAGCATTCCAGGCACAGGCTCCCTGCTGTTCTCTCCTACGTTCATCTAAGACAGTCACAGCACATCTCCTGATTTTTTTAAGGCCAAGGCACATGAGCACGTCCTGCTGGGCTGTCTGATGATGACACACAGCTGGCAGGGGGATATAAAATGTCTTTCAGGAACACAGGCTGGCAAGTGGCATTTCCCCCAGTCAGTGAGGACTCCCTTGGGTGGGCAGCCCTCGGCCCCAGCCAGAGGGATCCCTCGGGGTTGCTTTTTGCTGCCACCAGGGGTGAGTAAAACTGGGGACAGCGCTGTGACTGCACACCAATACCCGCTGGAATAAAGGTCTCCTGGCTCCAGATCAGCAAGCACCTCCTAAAAACAAACATCCACAAGCAACACAACAAGCAGAGAGAGAAGACCCTGAGTTCCTGACCCCCTCCAGCAGTGAGGTCTCCCCTGCTCACCTGAGTTTCGGCAGCCAGGCGTGGCATGGAGGCCGCCCGGCCCTGGCTCTCCAGCCCTGGCTGGGGCTCTCCATTGGCAACTGTGGGGCTGATTTCCCTCATTTCTACCACCTGATGGAAACATGACATGTTTTCAGTAGCAAGAACATGAATATCAGCTTTGAAGCCATCACCTGAGCTTTGAAGCCGTCACCTGAGCGTGCTTTGCTAGGTTTGATGTCATTGTGAGGAGATGGTGGGATTGGAAAGAGGGGAAATGAAGAGCTGTGGAGAAGGTTACTCTTGTCTGCTGGGCTTTCTGCAGCAAGGACAGCAGTGGGCCAGGCTCTTCCAGCAGCCACGAGCCCCAGTGTGACCTGTGAAACCCCTCACCCGAGCTGGGACACTGGGACTGAGATAATGGGAAGAGATAACCTACTCCAGCGAGACAGAATTCCATGAAAAGGGTGTCCCCATCACAGCTATCAGGCTGTGGGAGCTCCTGGGATTTGAGTTTTCCCCCACAAGCAAATTTGGGGTTGTAAGAGCAACCCCTCAAGGGGCAGATTTACCACTTAATGCATGTCACCCTCTCTTCACCCGCTTTCCTAAACATTTTCCAAGATTTCTGAAGTTCTGCCGCAGTTCTGGCATCTCCTGCACCTCCCCAGCTGCTCACCCGTTCGATGGGGATTTCCTCGGAGTGGCCTCGCTCAAAAGCTGGTGTCCTGGTCTCGTAAAACACGTCCTGGGTGCGCTGGGTCCCCCAGGAACTGGACTCTTTGATCCCACCCTCTGGGGCTGGTCTGCCAGAAGGAAAAGAGGCACAAACATTCATTAACTCTTCTGCAAAGGGGATTTTCCTGAACTCACAGCGTGGCAAACTTGGGAAACCAGTTGCTTGCAGAGCGGGCAGAGCTGCTGGTGAAACCATCAGATCCCCTGGGTTTTTCCAGGATCATGTCCTGTAGAGCCTGAAGATCCCATCAGAACAAGAAAAATCACAACAGCCATATTTTTATTTATTTCTTTTTTTTTTTTTTTTTCCAGTAACTGAGAAAAGCAATCTCTGTGGTTTAATTCCTGATGAAGAAGAAAGAAGAATTTTGGAGCTCAGGCCCATTCTGTGAGCAGGACAGTTGGACATTGGTCAAACACCATGACCACAGTAGAGGACATTCCCTCAAAGTCCAGTGGCACCCACTCAGCAGTGGAACCCAGCCAGGGTTTCACTGCTGAGCCACTGGTGGCTTCCAAAATGCCCCCACCAGGTCATCTGGGATGTTTAAACCTCAGATGTCTATCCCTAAAAATCCACAGGACTTGTGTGACCCAGAGGAAAGTCACCTGGAAAGCAGGAAATGGAGAATTCCTTAGGGATCACTGCTCCTAGAACTGCCTGGAAAGCTCTCTCTGGGGAAGGATTATTTTGCCCAAAGAGACACATTCTGTCATGGCAAGTCTAAAGAAGCTCTTGCTGTTACCAAATGCCCTGAGCCCGAGGGATGACTTTGTTCCCAAGGACTCCCAAGAACTCGCTGGTGGATTGGGGTTTGTTTGGTCGTTTTGCAACGATCCCAAATTCCTGCAAGGGAACTCACACTCACAACTACCCACAATGGAAAGCTCTGCAACGAAGATTCAAGGGAGACCACTGAGGAAGCACAAAGGTCTGGAGACCCCCACGTTCCACCCCCAGGCAGCAGCGGGAAGCAGAGGCAGGTGGAGGCATTTTTGGAAGCCGCCAACGGGAATTGTCCCAGCCATGGCGTGAAGGGGCTGCTGGTCTTGGTGTTCTCCCCTCCAGAGCCACTGAACCGGGGCTGATGGACACACCCTTGTCCAGGAGGGCTTTGTGGGGGGTCAGGGGGTACTCACAGTGCACCCCCGTTGTTGAGGGAGGCCGAGCTCTTCTGGCGCAGGAAGGCCTTGGCGTTGCTGAACGCTGTGGACTGGCTTTGCTCCAGGGTGGCCTTCAAGGGGTGGAACAGGGACACTGGGCCAGGCTGCCAAGCACAAGGGAAGGGTGTCAGAGGCAGAGCTGGCATGGGCTGAAGCGCTTTTAACACAAGTCCACTTTGCCACGCTGGGAGATGAGCCCAGCACAAGGCCAAGCCCAGCCCAGCCCAACCACGGCTGGAGAGGCTCTGAAGGACCTGCTGCCCTCAGGTTTGCACAAGTCAAGTCGTGCTGCAGTCCCCCCATCCCTCCAAGTGTTGTCCCAGGCTGGGGTTTCCCACAGGGATGGCAGCAGAGGGGCTGTGCAATCCAGGCTGTGATGCTGGGTCTGCTGCAGCCACCCCTGTGCAGGACAGATCTCCAGGCCATGCTGGAGCTCAGCTGGATGACCATCCTAAAAACAACAGCCTGGAAACCATTGGGGTTTCAATCCCAAGCCATTTGTGTGGAAATATCACAGAATATTCAGAGTTGGAAGGGACCCCCAAGGATAATCGAGTCCAGCTCTTGAGTGAATGGCCCATGTTCTTGGCATTATCAGCACCAGGTTTTAACCAACTGAGCTAAACTCAGGGTGGAAATATTTTCAAAAATACTTCCAAGAAACTGCAAAAAACCCCTTACAATCTATTAGAGCCAAAATGATTTTGAATAATTCCCATTTTCAAAAGAAACTTAAAACGTTTTATAGCCAAACTACCATCAGCTTTCACTAATTCTTTGATCCCCACCAGAGAAACCTTCTGGTGTTCTCCAGTCCCTGGGCCACTTCTGAAAATAGGATTTAGGCTGCCAAACATCAGCTGACATTTTTGGGAAAAGACCTTTCTGGATCTACCAGAAAAGGTGACTGTAATGATTTTTTATTTTTTTTAAATAGTTTTCAAGAGAGACTTTCAGGAGAGGTTTTGATTTTTGAGACAGCATTTTCCAATCCTGCCTGGAGAAGAATCCAGACTTTCTGGATGAAACTTGCTGGTGAGAGCTGCCCAGTGCTGGAGAAGGGGCTGCCCAAGAGGGAGGATGGAGTGAAACACCTTTTTGGTGGGTACCTGGCAGAGGCCTCCAGGGGGTTGGACTTGTTCCCTGCTGTTCTTATTCTGCTTGTAGAAGTCAAATATCATCAGGGCTGCGTAGACCTTCCCCACAGTCATTTCATCAGCTGCCAGAGGAAGGTGAGACATTGAAACATGAAAACATTCAAAGGATGAGAGGAGCAGGATAAGCCAAAAAGCACAAGAAGTAACAGCAAATGGGTCCGAAAAACAAGGAGAGGGGAGAAGAAACGTCAGAATAATGAGGCAAAACAGACACAGAAGTGTGGGGGAAAGAAAAAAAATGATGAGGAAAAGGTTACAACAGATTTCTTCAGCTCTTTGCCTGTTGCTGCTTCTCCCATCTGAGATGAAACACAGAGATCACGTAACAAAAATCAGGCAGGAAACCTCTGTGGCATTGTAAGCATTGCTGAGAGAACTGCTAAATCCATGCCAGATCCACAGCCAGCTTTTTATCAAGGAAAAAAAACCCACCTTATTCCTCTTTGTTTGAATTACAGTCAACCTGGGCAAAATGGGCTAAACATAAAGAGCATTTCATTTTTCCAGATGCCTTTTTCCACCCTCGGAGAACCAGAACCAGCCCTTCCCAACGCAGTATTGGAGTATTTACCATGGAGCAGGGAGCTGGGGCAGCAGATAGAGAGGCACCAAGAGATGAGGGCAGGGAAAGACTTAAGCAGTCACTACCCACTGATTTGCACCTCCTCAGCTCCCTCATTTCTCTTAATTAACAGTGTCTTTATTGCTCTGCACTGCTCCTCATTAATCAGGAATCCAGAACCCTTGGCTGGGCAACCTTTCCATTTTCTCAGCACATCCTCCCAGGGCATCACCAACACAAGAGCCTTTAGCCCCAAACACCTCACTTTGATTCCCTAAGTTCTCAGCCAACAGCAGTTTTCTTCTCCTGCTTTTCTGGAGCTCAGATGGGAGAAACTGCTCTCCATCCTGCAAGGCACAGGCTGGAGCTGACAAAGCCATGGAAAAGGCCACACTCTTGGCCTTCTTGGCGCTGTTTTGGGTTGTTTTTTCCCCCCTATGCACAGGAAATCTACTGTAGAATCATAAAGTCTACACCTAGATGTAACCTCAGCTTCCCTAATTCCTGTGTGACCACGGCATGGCAGCACAGAGGATGCCAAGGAGCTGATTCCAGATGCCTTGTGTGCCCAGATGGGGCTTGGGACAGCTCAGCCAAGGAGGGGGAAACCTTCTTGAGTGTCTGGGATGGATCCAGTGCTTGCTGCTGAACCACTTACGTTTGTGAGGAGGCACCAGCAGATCCAGAGTCTTCTGGGACAGGTTGGGCCAAACCAGGGAGATCTCCTTTCTCAGCTCAGCATCACACTGGTGCTGTTTAACTCCACCTGCAGAGAGGGAGGGGAGAAGCACAGAGAGGAGAGTGAAAACCCTTGTCTTGGTAACATTTTCATCCTCATCCTTCCATTCTTTGAGGAGGGCGAGCCAGCACAGCTGCAGCAGATGGTGAGATGGGAATCGGTGGCTCCCTCCATCAAAAAAGTGTGTGAATTGAGCAGGACCATCATCACCTCAACCTGCTGACCCTCTGCTCTTACCTGGGGCTTAAACTTAAGCTCAGACTTGCTCCCACCTGACTGCAGGTGCCTCCTCCTTTAGGGAGCAGGAAGCAGCAGCACCTTCCAGGTGGGATGCAAAGGACTTGGCCTTTGGACACGAATCATGGAATGATTTGGGTTGGAAAGGACCTTAAAGATGCCCCAGTTCCATGGGCAGGGACACCTTCCACTGAGCAATGCCATGATGGGTTAGAAACCCTCCCCACCACCAACCCTTCCCGAAATCTTGAGCGGCGAGACACGAGCGGGTTGTTCTGCACCAGCAGCTCCAGAACTGCTCAAAGGGCCAAAGTGAGGCCTTCCTGCAGCAGTGGGAAGTGATTAAAAGGCTGTGTGAGCCAACAGGGCAGCTCCCAGCTGAATGCTCTGCACAGGAGGCAATTAAACAGTTCATCTGAATGACAGAGATTATTTTTCTGAGAGAGAAAAGTACCGGGAGGAGGCTCTGGGTACTCTGTTACAGGGTGGTTTGAACTCCCACACAGCAGCTCATTAGGGAGGCTTTATTAAGGGCCTGTTAGTCCTACTAAAGAGTCAATTAAATGCAGCACATGAAACCTATTCAAACGAGCTCAGAACAACATAACAGGTCAAAACCTCACACCCCACGGCAGAGAGAAAGCAGAGAAAGAATCCAGTGCTATCAGCTGAGCTCTCTTCTCTGGTTCCTTCCAGGGTAGAGCCAAAAAAAAAAGGAGGGGAGAGCTTTTTCCAGGTGAAAAAGGCTGTTTGATTACCACAGAGGTAACAAGAAGCCAAAAATAACACAAACTCTCAGCATCCTTATCTAGAAGTCATTCCTGAAATAAGGTGCTGGCCCTTAAAGTCCCAGGAAATCTTAAATGCATCCTTAGAAACAAGTGTCTGATGCTCAGTGTCACTCCCTGAGTTTCATTCCCTTAGGGAGCCCCAGTGACCTCAAAAGTTTGTCTCCTTCCAGCAGCGCCAACCCAGAGCATCCAAGCTGAAGCAACACGTGAGGGAGGTGATTAACACAGAGAGGTTGCAGTGCTGGCCTAAAACTGCTTAGGAAAGCACAAAACCCAACCCTGCCTTGCCCTGGTGCTCATAAGAGCATTGTTACCTCCTGTTAACTTTGAAATTAGGCATAAAAGTGCTGTGGCCAGGCATGCCTCCATTCTGACCCCAGCCAGGCTGATTAAATGCTGCAGTGACCCGGAGAAAAGGCCAGTGTGTTTTATTACATTACAAAGTTTAATTGGGAAGTCAAGTAAACGCCTGATTAAACACTTAAATAATTTTATCTCAAGGCAGAATGTGGTTCAGGGCACTTGGGAGTCAGTGCCTGGCTGCCAGCAGAGAGCAATTGGGAAGGAAGGGCTGGTTCTCCCCCGTGCTGCAATAGTGGAGGGCTGAGGAAACTCTCATTTGTGTTAAACAGCAGTGAGCACACACAAGGATCCTTCTCCTTTAAGAGCTCTCCACTGGGATTGCCAAAAATCTCCATCCTAGGGATGCAGCCACCCCAAAGGCAGAGGATCCCTCTGTCCCTGCCCCAAAGCTCCCTTGGGTGCTGGCAATAGGAAAAGAGGATTTCCACCTGGAGCAGAATTCCTGTGGTTTGGAGAGGACACCAAGCCAGCAGATGGGCTGGGGGTTGAGCCACTTGTGCTTTCAGCACACTGTTAATTGTGTTCTCCTGCTTTTCCAGAGCTCAGATGATACAAACTGCTCTCATCCTGGAAACACAGGCTGGGGGCTGGCAAAGCCATGGAAAAGCCCTGGAAGAGGCCACTCAGGGCACTGGGTTTGGTTGGGTTTTATCCATGTACAAGAAATCTACTGTGCCATAATGAAGTCCAAGCCCTGATGTGGCCTCAGCATCCCTGACCCCTGTGTGACCATGGCATGGCAGCACAGAGGGTGCCAAGGAGCTGAACTGCCCTTTGTTTCCTTTGCTGTGCCCTCCAGGTGACTGTGCCACCCCCTCAGACACCCCCTCCCTCTCACCTGAGGCCAGTTTGATCTCCAGGGCGGTTCTGATCAGGGCCATCAGCGTGGATGTGAAGTGGACAGTCAGATCCTCGGGGGATATCGGCATGTTCATCCTCACCAGGCGCTGGGGAGGGAAACACTCGCTGTGAGGGTGGCTCAGGATTCCTCCCCCCCCACCACCACCCCACCCTCCCCTCTGTGAGCCCTTCAAATACCCAGATTGAAACCTGTGGGAACTTTTTGTGCACTGAAAATCAGCTTCCAGATCTCAGCTCCTTTTCCAGGAGCAGGTCTGAGACACCGCAGTGGCTCTCCTGGTCAAACAGGGGGGTTGCCAGCACTGCACTGCAATCCTCCAAGGAGTTCCTCCAAAAGTAGACAGTTGAGATGCTCCCAACCCAGTTCACAGCCATTTGCAGCTCCAGACATGTGGCTGGTACCCAAAGCAGTGATAAACCACAACTCCACCTCCTCCACCCTTTCCTACACCAGGTGCCTTCACCTAAATTCTGGTTCTGCAACAGGAGAAGCACCAACAAATAGGACCTGGCAGCACTGAATGAGGTCAGCTGATGGAGGGTTTGCATCTGCAGCTCCATCCTGAATGTGGCTGTGCCTCTTCCAGCCGTGCAGGTGGCCTTGCTGGTGAGTGGGATGGGAGGGAGGCACTGCCAGTGACAGTGAGGGCTTTGTACAGGAGATGTGCAGTCCCTGAGTGGCCCCATGATGGGACCACCTTGGAAACAAGGCTGCTGAGCCCTGTGATGTGCCTCAAGCACCTGGGGCAGGTTGGGACTGGCTGCTAAAAGGTAAAGGTGTCGACATCCTTCCCACTGGAGACCCCTGAGTTCTGTTCTCACCTCCTTTCCCTGTGAGCATCCTTGTCTCCTCCTTCCCTTCCAGTCAGTGAGCTACACAGCCCCACCCAGACCTTCCCCACGAGGGAAGAGGTTGGATCAACAGCAGACTGTGATTGCCACCACATTCTTTCAGTCCAAACACAGAACAGTCCCTCTGGATCAGTATCTTCCAAGATTTTCAGGCCTGGTAGCTGTTCCTTCCCCATCACCATCCAGAGCCAACCTCTGACAGGGCAAATTCATCATTCTGGTAAGCAAGGAAGTACCTGGGATTGCTCTGGAAAGCTGTGGCTCCCTTAACACCTCTGGCAGCAGAGCATGGATGTGCTGAAAGGGGAAAAGACTCTCCAAGCCTTGCTCTCCAACCCTGAGCCACACATTTAAGGGATGGGTTTCTTCTCCTTCAGCAACCTGGTGATTTATCAGCTCCTCAGCTCTCACAAGATGTTTGGAAACTTCCTTGTCCAGAGCCCAATCAGCCAAACCTGGAGCCACATCAGCCAAACCTCAGTGGTTCCACTCCCTAAGGGAATGTGGAGCCTGAGGAAGTCCCTGGGGGTTGATCTGCCCGGGCTGTAACACCGAGGGGCAGCTGGGCCAGGGCCCCTTGCTGGGAGGGAATTTCATCCCCATCTGAGAGCTCCTCAAGCTGTTTTTGGTCTCTGTCTCTGCACAGAAGCCTTCTCTTTGTTTCAGGAGAGCAGGGACCTGCAGGAGTCTCAGGTGGGGGGAGAGGCAGAGTGGTCACTGTGAGCCCTGATTCTTGCTCCTGTGATTTACCCAAACCAAGCCAAGACTTGGTCCCCCTTTCCAGCCCTGGTTTAGCCTCCCTGCTTGGAGAAATCTCTGACACACAACTTCCCAGAGGTATGAACTGAGCTGCCTCACAGTCACAGACTGCTTTGGCTTGGAAGGGCCCTTTAAGATCATTTTATTCTCATCTCTGAGACAAACCTTAAAGATCATCTTCTTCCACCCCCCTGCCTTGGGCAGGGACACCTTCCAGACACCCACCAGAACAGATTTTCTGAGCCCTTTCCAACCTGGCCTTGGGCATTTCCATGTGTTTGGGTGCCCTCAGAGAGGAAGCCACAGCCCTGGCACCTTCTGCCAGCCCAGGAGATAACGTGGGCACCCACTGGTGATCCCATGGGCTGACAGAGGGCACAGGGTGCTGGTCCAGTGCAAAGATTCTGCTGAAATGGGCTCCAGAGGAGCTGAAACTTCCTTATTTATATTTTCACACATTTTGGGCTCTCATTCCATGCTGGAGGGATAAGACACCAGTATAACAACTTCTCCTGTCTCCTAAACTCTGAGACAAACCACTGGAATCTCCAAGATCTTCCCTCGAGCTTGCCCAAGGTTATTTTCCATGTCTGTCAAACCTCAGAGACAGGGAAATCAAAGCCAAGACTTCCCTCCCTTTATAATTCATTGACAGTATCAAATGCTGGCAACCCCACAGGTTTGGGTGTCTGTTCACTTGGGTCAACACAACAGGATTTCAACTGAGATTCCTGCCCTCAGCACACAAAAAGTTGCAAAAAAATACATCAGTGAGAGTCCACAGTTACCACTTAGAGAGTCCCACTGAATCCCACTTCAGTGGGAGAGAGTTAAGGGATGGAGAGAGAGAAGATGCATGGAAGTGAAGAACAAGCAGATGAGAAATAATCCCCCACAGGAGAGCTCTATCCTCACAAAAACTAGCACCAAAAACCGTGACTGAGACATCCCAGGTCTCCCCAGCTGACTTTCCAGCCTGAATTCCCAAAGGATACAGATGAAGGCTTTTTCTCCTAAATTTTAACCAGGAGCAGAGAATTTAAGGAAAGGTTTTCCAGGGGGGATTTTGGTTTTTTACACACTTCCCAGGGCAGAGCAGCTGCCTGTTTTTTACCCCCACAAAAAGGCCATAAAATGAGCCAGAAATGCCTAAAACCTGCTGCAGCCAAGCCCTGCAGGCCTGAGCTGCAAAAATCCCTCCCAAAATTAGGGAAAATTGCTTTCTTGGACGCTTCTGAGCTGAGAAAACACGTTGCTTAAATAAATATATGACATTTCTGGGAGATGAAGCAGTGGGTAGAAAGGAATTGATTCATCTTGGATTCCACCAAGATGGGTGGGAGGGGAGGGAGGAGTTTGGTGAGACCTGATCACACCCTGGCCCAAACTCCCCCTGGGCACCCAGGGATGCCAAGGAATCAGCCAGACACTGGCACAGCCACCCCTGAGGAGGGACTGGATCCCTCAACAACCCTGAGCATTCCCTGGGGTGTTTTCCTAATTCCAGAAATGCAGCTGAAAGGCTGAAACAAGGAGATATCTTCATTTTTTCCCTCTATTATTATGAAACAACCCCATACATAAAAATACCTCCTTGTGCAGAGCAGGAAGTTTCAATCCTTTCCAAACTACTTGCTCATTTTACCTGTATTTTTAATTCCCTCCCATTCCTACAGGACCCATAAAGGAACTGCAATCCAACTGGAAGTGAGGAAATTTCTCAAATCTTCTGTTGGACCCAACATTTCTCATTGGAAAATTCATCAAGAACTTTTGATTCTCATCCTTAACCAGCAGAGAAAAATCCCAATGTTCTTGACACAGTAGGGACAACAAAATGGTCTAAAAAAAACCCTGAACCAGATGTTTAGACTGTACTCAGTTAAAAAAAAAAAAAATTAACTTCTCCCTCAGTTTTTGCTGTTTTTTGCTGGTTGAGGTTGTGTTTCTAGGCTGGGTCTTACTAATGTCTCAGGTTTTGGAATAGGATGCAAAAATGTAATTTAAAAACAATAATAATAAAAACAACTAAATAAAACAACAAAAAAAAACCAAGATGAAACAACCAACTAAAAATCCCACAACAATAATAACCGAAGCAAAACAAACCTTAAAAAAACCAACAAAAACAAAACAAAAAAAAACAAAACTCCCCCCCCCCAAAAAAACCCAAAATCAACCAATCAGAAAAACCCACAAAAACGGGAGTCCCAAGGGATCCTGGAGGGAAAAGAGGGATCCTAAAGGGTTGTTTTCGGGGAGGAAAAAAGGGGCACCGATTTTGGGGATCCTGCAGGGTCGAGGGCGTGTTCCAGGCTGATTATGGGAGGGTCTGGCAAAGCAAAGAGGATTTTGGGGGGTGCCAGATGATTCTGGGGGTCCTGAAGAGCAAGGGGTGGTGTCGGGAGGGTCCCAGACAATTTTGGAGGGTCAGGACTGATTGTGGGGTGCTCCCAGATGATTTTGGGAGCTGCACAGAGCAATGAGAGGGGTTTGGAGGGGGTCGCAGTCGATTTGAGGGGTCCTGCAGGTTCGGGAGGGTCCCAGAAGGGTCTGCTCGGCAAGGGGGATTTTCGCGGGGGGGCGATCAGGGCTGATTTTGGGGGTCCCAGCTGATTCTGGGGGTGGTGCCAGGGGTGTATCCCAGCCGATTTTGGGAGGCTCAGGGCTGAACTGGGAGGGTCCCAGCCGATTTTCCCTCTCCTCTCCCTCCCCGGGGCACCAGATGGAGTCCCCGCTCCGGTTTCCCGGCCGCGCGTGGGGAACCCTCCTCCAGCCCTCGGCTTTAATTAGCGGGATTTGGGATCCTCCCCCCGCCGAGCTCGTTAATTCTGCAGGAGAGGGCCCCAGAGGCAGGAGCTGGGATGTTGTCTCGGGAGCCTCCCTAATTAACTGTGTGCTGATAACGAGGTACCCGAGCCCAGCCGGCAGCGGAGGCTCCGCTCGGGTTCCCGGCGCGGTCAGGAGGCTCCAGACACCCCCTCCGGCTCCCGGGTGGGATTTAATTGCCAATAAACAAACACGTCGCTAACGAGGCACCGAAATCTTCGTGTCAACCGATACGATCAAATGCCCCTGGTTCTTTTTTGGCGGATTTTCTGCTTAGAAACTTCTTGGGTGACGTCCGAGTAGGGAACGTGGTAGAGAAATGGGAGGGGAAATTCATCCCGGTGTCAAAGGCTGGGATGAAAAAAGTCTCCTGCTGACACAGAAGGCAGCACTGAACAGAAATATCTGCCCCCCTAAGTTCTGTTCACTGACATTTATCCAACACCAGCAGGAAGAGAACACTGAGCTAGGAATGCCTGGAAAACTGGCTGGCACCCCGACAGATTTGAATTATTAAAAGCACCCAATCAGCAGCTCCTGAGCAGCCTCTGGGACATAGAACTGCTCTGGGAACGATCCCCAGACGTGAATAAATTCGGGACAGTGAGAGAGCTGCTCTGGGAAAAGAGGCTGAGTTTGGTGAATA